ACGTGATTATGAAGTGATTTTGATGACAATGCCGTCAAGTGACATAAATGGAACGTTATTTTGACGTCATTTGTAATACCAAAAGTTGACGTCACCGATATGACGTCAACTAAATGTTACATTGACGTCATATATATGATCATTACTAATTAATTATTTTTTGTTATTATTTGTGTATTATTATTTGATGTATCATTTTATCCTTTAATATTCGATGAAAAACAAGGATAAAATGATATGTCATGCGCATTACACTTGCGGAAATGATACATATACTAATACATACACTAATACATACACTATCATATAAACACATAAACCATCTGTTTTCAATATTTCCATTGAACAGATATATCACAATTATACAGACATTGACATACAGATTCGTGGGTCATCGAAGTACAGCAGTTCCCGTACGATTGTCAAGGTTAAGCATGCGAGGTCGTGGTACAACTTCGGATGGGTGACCGTTTGGGATGTATCATAAAAAAAATTAATTCTCGAATTTAGAGAAAATTTTTTTTTCAGTAATTAGGGAAAACTGACCGGTATTTTACTTAAATTTCTACACGAAGTATATACGAATTTACTACTGCATTATTGCACTAGTAGTGACACTAATAGTACTTTTTAGTCATATTTACGTCTCCCTGACGTAATAAAATAACGTCAATAAGATGTGACATAATCACGTGATATATACGTCAGAATAACGTTACTTTTATGTCATAATTGACGTTATTTGTACCAAAAATTCACGTCATTATCACGTGACCTTGCTAGCTGGGATAATGAAGTATTCAAGTACATGTTTTAGTTAGACTTATTGTTAGTCAAATCAGACGTAAGTTTGGAACTGTTGGGTATTACTGAAGAAGAAGAGAAGGGAAATGTTGTCTTTTTTACCTTATTATTTTCTTAAATCTAATGACACGTATCATTTGTACACCAAGTTAAATTCTACCCTTCTTTCTCTCCGACTCGCCCCACTACTCATCATTGTCACTCTCCTTCATATATGTATAATATATTTTTAAATAATTCTTTAAATCATTTTTATATATATTTTTGATACATCTGTACTTTAACATAATATATTATCACGAAAGTAATTGATATTAAAATATCTACGTAAATATGCAATTTATACTAACTTCGATACATTGCACATCCTCCCTCCTCTTCTACTCCCTCCTCCCTTCCCCACTAATCATCTTTTTCATTTTATTTCACTATCATGTCGTAAAATATGGATTTTTCCCATAAAATATATCGTTTAATTAACTAGTCAAAAAATTCTATTTAAATTTTTATTTAAATAAATTTTTTTCATTGTTTTTAAATTAATTGTGATATAATTTTTTTAAAGAAGAATTAAATCACTTGGTTTCGAATAGGAAGATCTTCTAATAAAAATACAAAGGCATATACTTAGGTTTCATTGTATGAAGATAAAGATAGAACACCACATGGGTTTTACTTTTTAATTTAGTAGAATTTAAATAATAATACTATATTGGTTCTTAAAGATTAAAGGTACCACTTGTGTTTTACCTTTTAATTTGGTAGAATTTAACTTGGCGCCGACTGTTGATATCAAATCTT